ACGTTAACGTTAAGTTAAGTTACGTAGTAACGTAAGTAACGTAACGTAACGTAACGTAACGTAGTAGTTAGTTAGTTAGTTACGTACGTAGTACGTCGTCTCTCTCTCTCTCTCTCTCTCTCTCTCTCTCTCTCTCTCTCTCTCTCTCTCTCTCTCACACACACACACACACACACACACACACACAGCTTTTAAAATCTTTTTTATGAAAAGAGTCATATCCTCATTGAGTTGTTTTGGCCTTGAACTCTTGTCTCCTATTTCACTACAGTTTTTATGTTTCATTACATAGATTTCCTCTTCTTTCTGTATTTTTTCTGTAAATTGTCATTTTCTTAATGGTTTTTTTGCCCCCAAAACCTGTCGCAATACAACGTATACCTTGGGGTCTCAGTTTTGCATTAAGGTAGTTTTAACCATGTCATTGTCAATGCAATGCTTTCGAGCAACATTTGGAAGAACAATAGGATGAAAGATGAAATGAACACAATACCTAGTGGCAGTCATAAAGCACAATCATCATAATATCCTAAACAAGAAAAGAGAGATAGTATCTCACAGAGTGGTGAGACTAGAAAGCTGCCCAAAGATGTCACTCAACTGACCCTGGAGTTGATTATGACCAATATTTCTGCATAACCACAGAATTCCACACTTCATTGACAGTTCCTAGATATAGTTATAAAATAAAATAAAAAATTGAAAGTCCATGAATTGCTTCCAAGATGGTTAGGATATTTAACACTTAGTTACTGGAAGAAAACATAAAATAAGGATGCATTTATTATAATAAAGAAAAGAAAAAGGAGGACGACAGCCAAGAAACTCACAATTGAGGAAGAAATAAAAGCATTCAGATGCCACTTACAGATATTGAAGAGCAGACATTTGCGCGATAGAATATTGGATGTTCCCGGTAAAAGAATTTTCTGCTAAATTTCTGCACATTCATATTTTCTCTTCAGATTATAGGTGGCAAATACAAATGGCTACAGAAAGGTAGTTCTCATCTCTAGTGCTCATAACTTACAGTCTTGAAAGATTTGGAGGAAGCTGATATGGTATGTCGTTTCCAAAATTGTTATTGCTCACATCACTACAAAGTTCAACAAACCATTATTTCATATCAAAACCTCTTTAAGATGAAAAAATTACGCAGGCATATCTCTATTTGAATGCTCTCTCTCTCTCTCTCTCTCTCTCTCTCTCTCTCTCTCTCACACTACACACACACACACACACACACACACACACACAC